GAAAAAATTAAAGTTTTATTGGACTGCTACTATAAAATGGGATGCAATATGTCACTTAAGTTGCATTTTCTTCACTCGCATTTGGACTTTTTCCCTGAAAATATGGGGTCAGTCAGTGACGAACATGGCGAACGCTTTCACCAAGATGTTGTTGCATTTGAAAAGCGATTTCAAGGCAGATGGGAGCCTGCTATGCTCGCGGATTACTGTTGGAGCCTTATTAGAGAGACCCCTGCTACTGAGTACAAGAGAAAAGCCAGCTACTCCAAAAAAACTACGCCATTTCAATAAAATATACAATAAAATTATGGAAAATTCGTGATTTCGGACATGGATGTTTATCTGGACATTGAGATGTGATGGTGTGTGTATATTTGCATATTTTTATTACTTTAGTGGCAAGAAATAGTAATCACATAATGCGACCTCAGATAAAATCAAAAGTTGAAAATTTGTTGAGTAGTGTAATTAATGTTATCGTGATTGATGTTATCATATTCTAAAGTAGGAAGTTTGATTAATAATATTATTAGTTGTCTTTCATCCTTATGCACTTCCTTTTACAGTCATCATGTAAGCTAATCACGTACACATTCAATGGAAGCGGAAAAAAGGAACCATTTCAAGGTCGACTTTAAGCGATTACATTGCCAATGTCGTGATATGGAGTGATTATTTAAGAAATATTGGGATCTTACTCTTACTTATAATAGCTCAGTTAAAACTAGACATCACATCATCACATATGCGACAAATAGTACCCAGAGGCTATTTGCGTTCTTTCTCTGTGATTTCTAACTCAAAATTATTTAGATCAATATTTTGTACATTAATATTTTTCGACCATTTGCATTTTTTTATTTATTTATTTATTTACTTCTTACAATTGTATACAATGGCGGACTTAATGCCTAGTGGCATTCTCTAACAGTCAACCTTTTCTAGTTAACAGTCAACATTTTCTAGTCATCGAAGGCTGATGTCTACCTCATAGTGTAATATTCTCTATATTTCCCTCTCATTATCATCACCATCATCATCAACAGCGTACGTGAGAATTACCTCTCCTACATAATCCCTTGGTGATAGCCGTTTAGATTTACCAGGATGTCTTGCTTCCCCGTCCTCTGTCAAATATGAAGTTCCTGGCTGATGCGTACAATACCCGATAATCTTTTTTTCCAGGTGTAAATACCCAAACTGCGACTACACACATCTAGTAAAATTAGAGCTAAATTCCAGCTTTGATTTGAAATGCCATAAGTATAAGGTGTACAATGAAGATGGAGCATGTGTTGCTGATAATTTCGATATAGAAAACCCTGTCGAATGTAGAGAATGGGTTTATGAAAGACCAGACAGTTTTGTTGCAGAGGTGAGTAGTCATATATATTTTTTATTCTTTTATCGCCCCCAATTTTGTTATCATCAAAAACTCTTGCGGATTCAAACGATAATAGATCGACTAACATCACAGTCTTCTGCGATTACAGAAGGCTGTTCTATTAGATTTAATAAAGGCAGTAATTGTACTCCACAGACTCAGAATATTGGGTCTTGATGATAAGTGTGGGAGAGTCATGCTTCGGCACGAATACGCCGCGCCGGCTCGACCGGAGTAATACCACGGCCTCACAGAAAATCGAAGTGAAGCAACGCATGCGTTGTGTTTCGGCCGGCTTATCCCATACAAAAAAAATATATGATTTAGAAATGTTTTGAGACATAAGAATGTTGTCGTAATGATCACTAAGTTACGTTTGATGAAGTTCGTTTAAAGATAGCCCTAGAACAACCACGTCAAAGTTAATAAGGCATTTAAGTAATTTTATTCAAGCAGAACTTTTAAAACTTTGTCTACTTCAAAAGGAAGGTCCAGTTTCCTTATGATTAATCTCTCATTATAGTTCAATCTTGGATGTGAAAGCTGGAAGAGGACCCTCGTCGGTACGATGCACAGCGTCGGATACATGATTGGACTGTTTCTAGTCGGCCCTTTATCAGACAAGTAATTTACAATTTTCTATATTTTATAAGATAAAATAATAAAATTATTAAACAGTGATAGCCTCTTTAACCGACTTCAAAAAGAAAAGGAGATTCTGAGGTTGACCTGTATGTGTGTGTGTATGTATATTTTATCTCGCGATTGACTGAACGGATTTTTATGCGGTTTTCAAAAAAGTATTTGTTACAATTCGGAGAAGATTTAAGTATATTTTTAAACGTAGTTTATGTAAGAATTATTTCTCCAATTATGTTAAGAATCCTTAGTAATTAAAGTTAAGAGTAAAATTTTTAGATTACAATAATTGGGTACTTGCCATCTAGTCAAATTCAATATTTTTTACGAACTGTCAAAAACGACAGTTTTCTTATAATTTTATACGAGTTTGTGTATTGTAGATAATAGGTATCAAATCAAACAGCATACTTATTTCTTAAAAATTTGCTGGAAAAATACTATAATTAAGTTGGTTGTAAAGTCAGTGAACCTTGGAGTACCGTCATTATAGACACAATTAAATAACAATGGGTTGCGGTCACCGGTGTCCTCGCGGTGTTTGACAGTTTAAAGTGTGATTATTTTACAATATTTTATTGTATTGAACATCCGAAATAATTATTTTTTTTATTCTCATGATTAAGGAATGTACCCAATTGAATTATAACTGAGAATGTAACAACGAATAATATAATATTTTACGTGATACAGAAGTTGGTTCGTTCTCTGGTTGTTGTTCCGGTATCCTCATTCAAAATTGTCATAAATGAAAAGATCTATTTGTTGAACGATTTTGGACAAAACATTTGCACCTAATTTATAACGAAACGTCCAAATAATTTACGTTTGTGTCCATTATAATGACATACATACATAATGACGTGATATTCATTGTTTTATTTTCACACTAGTTATTCGTTAATTGGAGTGGTTAGTTTTTGTATTATAATAACAGTTAGTTTTGCGGTCAATACTTCACAATATCTTCACATTTTTGTGTTAGAACATACATATTCACATAGGTACACATGACACCCAGACTCGGAACAACAATCTGTGGATCACACAAAGAGTTTTTCCGTGCGGGAACCCGCGACACATTGCGCGGAAGCCAGATGCTCAACCACCGCGCTAAGTGTGCAGTAAAATAGTTTGACATTACTATTACCTATTGATGAAAAGTAAAGAAACAAACAAAATAAAATAGTAAGGGACCTATGAAGTCAAAATTGAAAAGAATTATATTGGAGTTAATAAGTTAGGCTAGAGATTTTGGCTCTGGCTCGACGTGCACGAGAAGGAACGGGGTGGTTTTTAGTCAGTAAGAGAGTCTGACACTCCCTCACGCCTCACCCAGGCGGGAGCGGTCATTTGATGATTTTCCCCCCTTAAAAAGAAAACCTTCCCTGGATTTCCACGAACATTTCAAGACCAAAATTAGCCAAAACGCTGGCCACTGTACTTATGACTTTTTAATATTTAACTTATCTATATTAATAATTTGTACTTTCAGATACGGTAGAAAAAACGTAGTAATATTCACGGCGGTAGCGTGCGCTGCGATTGGTCTAGCAAAGAGTGTGGTCTACTCCTATTGGCTGTATATAGCTCTTGAACTCCTGGAACCACTGCTTGGAGACTGTTACTCTGCCACGTTCACTTTAGGTGAGTATAGTCCTATGAATTTAAACCAAATGTAACCTCCAAAGCCCACACCACCTCCCGTCGTGGTGGCCCGGAGGTATAAGACGCCAGCTTCTCATGCATGAGGGTATGAGTTCGAAACCTGCCAACGGCAAGTACCAATTTGACTTTTCCCGAGTTATATGTACTTTCTAAGATTATTTTGACACCACTGACAAACGGTGAAGGAAAACATCGTGAGGAAACCTGGGCTTATAATTTCTACCTCTAATTATAAATTTGTAATCGCCAACTCACATTGAGCAAGCGTGGTGATTAATGCTCAAATCTTATCCATGTGAGAAGAGGCTTTGCTCAGCAGTAGGCATTTATAGACTGTTAATGATGAACCTCCAAAGATTTGCGGCAACCTGTCGTTTGCTCTTTGATCTAGAGTAAGATAACGGCGATCAGGATTTTAATTAAAAGATTTATTTATTACAAGGTATATTATCCTACAAGACTAACATACAATTAAAATCTATATATATAAAAGAAAGTCGTGTTAGTTACACCACTTATAACTCAAGAACGACAGAACAAATTTGGCTGAAAATTGGTGGGGAGGTAGATTAGAACCAGGAGACGGACATAGGATACTTTTACTCAATACTTTTTTTTACTTTTTACCGAAAATTAAGAACGGGACCGGGAAATATCGGGATTGCGCGTACGAAGTCGCGGGCTGAAGCTAGTATTTTAATAAAATAACTTTGACTGCACGGTTGGCGCGGTGGCTGGGCAACTGGCTGCCGCGCAACGTGTCGCGGGTTCGATTCCCGCACGGAACAATTATTTGTGTGATCCACAGATTGTTGTTCCGGGTCTGGGTGTGATGTGTATGTGAACTTATATGTTTGTAAACGCACCCACGACACAGGAGAAAATCCTAGTGTGGGGCAACGTTTTGTAAAAAAAAAAAAAAAAAAAACTTAATGCGAAATATACACTTTAACTTTACTCGTCATATGTATGCAATTTGATCGGCTTCATCAGCAATCGGTTTAGTGGTTGCACGGGCTGATCGATTGCTTAATTCTAGTTTCTACTTTAACATATTTTTTTATTGATTCGAGTCTTTACTGGGACTGCGTAAGACGAGATCTCAGATTTAATACTTCTGGTTGGTAACAAACTGCCTTCTTATTGTATTATGAGGAGTTTAGTACACGACATCTAATAAAGTTTAAGACTAATAAATATTATTTCCCTTTCAGCCATAGAATCAGTAACAAAAGAACATCGACCTATTATAATTTTTTTACTCAGTTTATTCACAACTTGTGGAGCAGTAGCCCTCGGTATCATCGCCTGGTTGACACCAAACTGGAGAATCTTCCTAATATCCATATACGCACCAGCATTCCTATACATCCTCTACATATTCTGCTTTGACGAAAGCATAAGATGGTTACTAAACAAAGGTCAGAAGAAAAAAGCCGATGACTTAATCCGTAAAGCAGCCAAAATGAACAACATCTCAATAGACGAAAACAAACTATCAAATTTAAAATGCGAAGAGAATACCGCCAACGTAAGCTTGACAACGTTGGTGAAAATAACGGTTTCTTCAAAAAAACTGTTGTTGAGATTATTATGTTGTATTTGCATGTGGTTCACAGCGTTGTTCAACGCTTATTCGTTGCTTATAAACTCAGTGTCGCTAAAAGGCAACAAATATTTGAATTTCGAACTTGTGGCCGTAACTGGCTTTCCTGCCAGTTTTATCATACTGTTTTTGTTAATGAAATGTACAAGAAAGAGGCCTTTGATATTTTCTTTTTTGCTCACTGGAACATTTTGTACGGCGCATTCCATTCTTCCTACAGGTATGTAAACGCAAATTGTATTATCATTATACGGGAGACGCTTTACTTTTAGTAGAAATTACATTTAGTAGAAAATTTTTAGGAAAAGTTATCTTGAAACAAGGAAAAATTTTATAACTAACTTTACAGTAACTTAGGTATATTTAGCACGTTGATAACAATATGACATCTACATTTTAAGACGTCAACATTCCACCTTTTGGTTCGCTAAGCACAAGGACAGAGAAGCCTACAGTGTAGATAGATCCCTACTAGTGACTTCTTGTTTTGCGTAGTACACAAACACAACCATCTAAATATTTCTTTTGCATTACATCCACCCGAAGGTTGTCTGGTAGAAATCACTAAAAGTGATAAGACCGCCTTTGTGCTCATTGTTATTTTTATTTTTTATTTCTTTTTTCTGTATGTACTTACATACTATATTATTAACCTTCAAGCGGGCGCGCGGTCTTTTGTAACGGGAGCGGGCGCGCGTAACCGAATAGACCTATGGGATGAATAAGACCAAGAAAGCAATAATTATGGGATAATCATTTATTAATTTGTACTAAGATACAATATCATTGTCTTTAAAGAGAAATTTGTCACAACAAGTAATTAAAATTATGAAAAAGAAGCAATTATTAAGTCACCTAAAGTAACTCAAATATTCTTTGGATCAAAATAAAAATTAAGACCCGTTTACATATGTTAGGTTGGTTTATATACGTAGACCAAAAAATAAATAAAAAGTAAGGATAAAACTGTAAAAACTCATTAATTTTGATTTTATTTTCGTCTGAGTCAGTATTCTAGTAATTTTTCAGATTTTGCTACTTCGTTACTTTATCGCGTCCTGTAAAACAGCTATTTATTACCGAAAGCTACAAATTATTCTCATCTAAATCCGACAAGGATGATATCACATCAGATAGATGTTCTTCTAAAACTATGTGATGAGAAGTTTCAGAGCCTTGGTTGCTAAGCTCTGATTCACTCTCTTCTTCGTCTTCTCTTTGTAATTCCTCGATTACTGTACTTTGCGATAACCATAAACGACTTATTTAAACAAAAAATGCTTTAAAACACCAAAACTCCAAGCTGAATTAGATAATATTGACATGTGTATGTCGCGTTGGGCGTCGCGCGTAACCTATTCGACGACAGGCGCGTGTAGTCTTTTCAACGACTGCGCCAGAGCCTAAATAATTGTAATTTGTGGAGTGTAGAGATCGCTTCAAGCAACGAAATAGTTTTTATTTTACTCCTAAAAAGATAGTGACAGGCTACTAGAAATTAGAAATGCATGTGACAACTAAAAATAAAAATACGAACGAAAATGTATTAACCGCGGTCGATTCGACTACGCGCGCCCGCTTGAAGGTTAATGGTGTAAGATAAAGATTATTTTATTTTATTCTAGTGTCATTGTGATGTCTACGTTAACAGCTTTGACAAGCTTGTTGATATTCCCAAAATACTTTTTTATGGCATAAGCCGGTAAACGAGCAGACGGATCACCTGATGGAAGCAATCGGCATCGCCCATGCACACCTGAAACCCCAAGGCGTTACAAGTGCGTTACCGGCCTTTTGGGAATTGGAAATTTGAGGTTTGTGGAGGATCCGGGGATTGGGGAGACTGGGCAATTGGGCCTCCAGTAACCTCACTCACACGACGAAACACAACGCAAGCATTGCTTCACGTCGGTTTTCTTTGAGGCCGTGGTATCACTCCGGTCAAGCCAACCCATTCGTGCCGAAGCATGGCTCTCCCACACTTAGAAACGAAAGATTCAATAATCATTGTATCTTTCGTTTCGAAACCAAAGGCCGGCAACGTACCTGTGACACCTCTTGTGTTGCGGGTGTCCATGGGCGGCGCTGATCGCTTACCGGCGGTGATCCGTCTGCTCGTTTGCCTTCTATTCCATAAAAAAAAATGGTTTTCGATACATCATTAAGTTCAAGAGAGCCACATAAATAACAGTCCCCCTAACTTCACACACCCAAATCACACACATAAGCCATCTTTCAACCCAATCCTATCTTCCACAGGCTACGGCTGGCTGTCCATATTGTTGTACGTTTCGGGGAAGCTTTGTTCTTCCGTGTCGATACGCATAGTCTATATATACACTTCGGAACTATTTCCTACGTACACTCGGAATACAATGCATGCGCTCTGCTCTGCGTTGGGAAGAATTGCCGCCATCGTTGCACCTCAGACGCCTTTATTAGTAAGTGGTTTTGTACTATAGATTTGGTAGTGCTGTTGTGGGATTGGTTTCCGATGTACAATAGTAAGACAGTAGGTTAGTCAGGCCTATTTTATTTTGGTATGTGAATTTAGTCATACGAAAGGTAACGTCGATCCAATTTACAAAAAGAAACTATTGATACCGTAATTTCTCAAATGACACATTACCTTAAATCAATATTGATGCGATTTAAGAAATTCACTTTTCGAATGTATATATTTTTTGATTGGGCACTTAATTCACCAAGTACCAATATATCTATCTATTGTGTGTATGCCTAATAAAACACTGAAATGAAGTAACGCAGTCTATTCCTTGAAATCAACCACAAAATTCCAAGCCCTGTATTGTAGAGTAGTACTTATATCTTTTCTAAAGTATACTTTCAATTGCAGCTTGACTACTGGGAAGGTCTCCCGTCCCTCATAATTGGTGTACTATCTGTCCTGACAGCGTGTCTAATCACGCTACTGCCAGACACATCTGATGACATCTTGCCTGACAACGTTTGCCAGGCAGAAGCAGCGGGTAAAAAAGAGAAGAATATGTGTAAATTGGGGAAGAAAGAAAGAGAAATCGATGTATGTTCTAAATTGTAGATATTAAATGTTATGATAGATAAAGTGATTTTTGTTTTTTGCAAATAATAACAAGTTATTTTTTGCCATACAACTGGTTGAAAGAGTAAGCAACAGACAAGATTTAAGAAGTATTCGTAACTCATTTCAATGCCAGTTCATACTCTTAAGACTGAAGTGACTGTGACTGGCTGTCCGATACGAACTTTCATCAGTTTTAGTCATAGAGGAGAAAATGAAATGTAAAACTATTTCAAAATAAACCCTCATTGAAAACCCAGCTACTCCGCCAAAACACGACCCACAAAATTGTATTCCATAACAGGAATAAGTTGAAGAAATAAACTATGATACGAAACGAATTCTCGTCACGTTTGATTCTCGGTTGAAACGAGAACGCGACTATATTGGATCGGTTCAGCTTCTTAGTGTCAGCAGTCAGCACACACGCGAACTAGACTTCTCTACTTACTATCCTGTGGTTTAGACTGAATTTTAATTTATAGTATTGAAGTTTGGAGGATTAGATTTAGATTTTTAAATGGTTAAGATAATTTTTGATTTCTGTATCAACATTCCGTGATGATTTACTGCTGGATTATCTAGTCTTCTGTTCATAAGGGGTTCTATGCTGGGTTTATCAAAGAGCTCTGCTACCTAATCTACCGTAAATGTTGAAATTACTACAGTATAGATAACAAATAATTATCATAACTTTGAGCGATACATTATACACCTCTACATACCCCTAAAAATGGGGAAAAGTGTATGTATAGAAAAAATGTAAAAGCTCGTAGAAAAATGCATACAGTAAATCCACCAATATAAACCATTCCAGATTGAATTCACAATTCGAAATTCTCCAACAAGCTAATACCTAATCACAATTTCCATAACCACAACCTTTAGAGCAGCTACAGAATATTCTGTACGAAAAGAAAAATAAAGAAAATGCATCATACGTGCTCCTAATACGGATTCTTAGCTGCATGATTCAGATGGTCGCATTGCTCTTGTATTTCGACCAGGCGCCGACGTCAGCATTCGCGTCACGGACGAGCGAAGGCGGCCAATTGAAACTAAGCTATATTGAAACGGTGAATTAGGCGTATCTTGATGTGAAGATGGCCGTGGATGTGATGCGAGAGTTTCAATTACTTGATAATGTGTTGCAAGAGTAATAAAGGGAGTTTCATTCTGCGTAGTTGATTACAAGGCCACACCGTCAGAACTGCCAAGCAGGCGGTCTCGAGAATCAATTTGAAAAGGCACCAAAACTGAGAATGTATACTTCCTTACAATTCGCCCAAACAAATAAAGGGAACTAATTTGAGAATCTTCCAGCATCCTAATTTAGAAACCAATTACTAATTACCACCCACTAAAATACCAGCAGCTAATCCAAAAACCTTTAATTGTTTCTCCTACAAACAAAATCAAGTTAAAATTATATAAATTCGGAACACGCAAAACCTCTTACGTAGGCACACGAGCGAGAGTATGCACAAAATCGTAATTATTTAAAACAACATACAAATATTCATGATCCATTAAAGCAAGACCTTCAAACCTTTGATCCTCGTATAAACCTTTATGCGAATAAAATGAAGTGAAAATGAACTGCAATTAGGTAAATTGCCGAAAGCCCTAACGTGCGATCCCGAAAAAATCCACCCCTAACATTCTCCCGGTGAAACCCCCCTTCACCCTCATCGGACCACTTTGGGTGACAATTTGTGGGAACAGCCGGCTAGGGCTACCCACTGTATTGTAGATATTACTTTTGCAAACACTCTGTAGAGGGAAAACCATGAGAATTTAAAATACGCCGAACATTATTTTGGTAACATCGAGTTTAATATTCATAGGTCTTATACACCTACTTAGTGAATGTCTTCGTTATTTAAAGAGATACACTGTAAACTGAAATGAAAAAAAACACGTGTTTTATATCCGCTCTTTTAAAGAGTCTCGATCTACAAAACAATACATTTTAAAACCTAAAATCAGAATTAACTCTCCAAATAATAGAATAGTTACCAGAATGTAAAGACTCCACAGCCCTACGGACAACGAAAATGGAGTCGTCCAGTAAAACAGTGGGTACGGTTTGAAATTATTCATGCAAATTTCCACCAATGATAGGGAACGATGCATTTTAGTTCAAAATCTCGATTGGTGACCAAAAATTAAATTCGGTTCGCTTATACAATGAATTCTCATTTATATGGCCATCAATTCTGATTGATATATGCTAAATGGCCACTTATTTAATAGTTTAATCGATTTGCATAACATTTCATACTTCAATATTGCTGGTTTATTGCTGTCTGTATTAAGTCTAATATTTTGTAAGTGTCGCGGAGAACCTAACGGGTAACCGGGGCTCCGGCTCGACGTGCAGGAGAAGGAACGGGGTGGTTTTTAGTCAGTAAGAGTCTGACACTCCCTCCCGCCTCACCCAGGCGGGAGCAGTCATTCGATGATTTTCCTCCCTTAAAAAAAATGTTCTGTAAGTGATTTTAGGTACTAAAACTATTTTTTGTGTGTTAATTATGGCGGTTTGAAGTTAAATGTAACTCATGTTAAATGCCATTGGGGTCACCGATTCACCGGCGACGGACGTTAGCAGAGTACTTACCTTCAACAGTTTTCTAGTTTAATACTTAATAGATGTTTGGTATATCTACCTTTCAACCCTTCTATTTATTAGCCAGCAATTGATCATCGACACCTGGTTCTTCTTCTTCTTTAGCCTTTTTCTACCTCCTCAGGCCTCCATCAGTTTTTGTCTTAAGCAATTTCTATCCAATTCGTGCCAGCTGTTGTTTTGCTGGTAATTTTGTACACCAAAAGAAGTAAAAACATAAGTGATCAGTGAATTAATTGTCAGAAGAATATAAATGTATACTATAATAATATATCATACTTGCATCACACGCAATCACGTATCAACTACATTTTGGAGCGTGGGGAATATTGTGTCCAAAATTTCAAAAACATTTTCTTTTTTCCACCAAAACAAAAAAATATCTGATATTATTAAAATACTTATTAACAAAAGAGCGTGGCACAAAAAACCGGGCGATGTACTCGAAATATTATAATTTCATAGCGGGATGTTTTAAATTCATAAATGTGGTTGGTGGCGTATGTTTTTAATTAAACTGCTGCGGGTACACCTGGGCACAGGCGTTCTCCAGTGAATTAATACAGGTGTACAGGTACAACCATATAAAGTTACAAGAAAATATCGTAGAACGTGCCTTACGTACAGATTATGTACCACTTAGGCCTATATATTATGATAAGTTCATATTCCTAACTGGACAAGTAATAATTAAGTTTGTAAGGAACACAAAATTTTAAGTTTGTATCTAGACCTGACTCTAACTCTAACTTTAAGGAACAAAAGCTTCTGACATGCACATCAAATCCGAGTAACTAGGTAAGTATTAGATCATCTTTCTCAATTGATCAATCTTCAAACAATTTAATTAATAGTTTTAATTCTTCGATAGTATAAATATGAAAAAACTAAAGCTAGCATAAAATTCAGCACTTTCCACATAGCAAATAAACAAATACAGCAACCTCCATTTCATTATATTCCCGACTATGTGAGGCGCAACTATTGCAGCCATATTCAAAAAGCGTTCCAAAAAAAATTCGTGCATGCCATAGATTATAAATATACGAAAAAAAACCATCGCAATGTCATAGGCTTATAAAAAATAGCTATTTGGTCGAATGTAACGTGTATACGTCACCGCGGGCCGTATTTGATGGGGTGGTCACATTTTGTTTACGAAAAACAATACAAAAAAAAATATTTTTCCACTAACTGACACGCCGTATTGAGCTGCGGGCAACTAAACGGGAACAAAATATGTTTTTTATACCCTTTGTTCCGCTGATATGGCAATGAAAATATACGTTTATGGTTTTTTGGTACATGAACAGTGATCTAGCTGTTGTAGATAAACTAAGAGGTCAACGGATACGTGTGAACAGTAGAACTAAATAAAATATACGTTTTTGTTCGCAACTTCATCTGGGGTTGCAGATTATAACAATCTATTTTAAACAAGCCTCCATTTCAATAGAATTATATAGAAATGTGTATAAAATTCCACTAAAATAGCTAAAAGACGTGCAACAATTTAGTACAGGATTAAAATAAGAAACTCCGATAGAATAGTTTTCCAACAATCGTTTCGAATGCGCTATATCTCCAGTAAATTCTCTGTTATAAGCACCTTTTCCTATATCCCCTTATACCAATTTGAAAACACACACAACGCTAAACAAAATAGGATTACGAATTTTTTCTCTTTCTATAAAAAAGCGAAGCTGATCTCACGGATTTTTCCTGATGCTGGTTTTCACCAACTGAGGAAAAATGCTATATACTATGTGCCGCAACTATGCCATGCAAGGTATATTATTTTTTCATTTTCATTCATTTTAGTGTGAGCGAACCATGTTTCGGCACGAATGGATCGGTTTAATCGGATTGATACCAAGCCCACAGAAAACCGACGTGAAACAATGTTTGCTCGCGTTGCGTTGTGTTTCGTCGTGTAAGTTAGGTTACCGGAGACCCAATTACCCCTCTCCCCAATCTCCCTAATCCCTGAATCCCCAACAATCCTCGAATCCCCAATCCCCAAAAGGCCGGTAAGGCACTTGTAACAACGACTTGTTTCAGGTGTCCAAGGGCGGCACCGATTGCTTACCATCAGGTGATCCGTCTGCTAGTTTACCGGCTTATGCCATAAAAAAATCTGTTGTGAAAGAAATTATGAAACCCGTTACAAAAGTACTGTGTAGGAACAGTACACCGCATAAGCCCCACTCGCTTTGTTAAATAAAAATATAAATATCTCTCATGTAAGTTGCCGTACGAAGTTTTTGTTCCAACCTTATTCTTTTTAATGCTTTCCATTAGATGAAAGAGTTGGAATATCAGCGTAACGAATATTACACTAATGGCTTGCACAGACTAGAGACTTTTGTTG